TTTTCGGGCGAAAGACGAAGAGCTCGGTGGTGTGTTTGGTGGTTAGGCTAGCTCTGCTCTCACTCCTTACTTTTTTTTTTTCGTTTTTACATTTAAATAAAGAAAAAAAAAAATGTAAGTCCGAATAGGGGGGGGGGGGGGGGGGGGGGGGGGAGAGCGTTACCTTTAAAGATGTTTCAGCTATATAAAAATAAACCTTCGTGCTCTAGCGAGAAACAGCAGGAACAATGGCAATATTCCAAAAGATATAATGGTGGCAGTTGCCCCAACAGGCTTTTGGATTAGATGCCAAAACCTGACGAAACTCCCAAGCAATTCCAGGGTATACTTTTAAACAAGACCAAATAATTCAGCAAGTAAGCACACACTACCAACTCCGCGGTATGGTCATGCAGTACCTTGAGCCTGTACATAGCCATATCACTGGGATTTGGCAGTCATTTACAGCTGCTTCGTCCTTATTAGGACTTATCATCATGCCGTTGCCCCAGGTAAAGGGTCTCACTAGGTGATCCCTGACCCCTTCGTTTACTGCCGAAGAGAGTGCGAAAATGCACTCCATGGACATCAAATTTCTCCAACTGATATCAATACATAATCAAGTAGAAAGGTTACCCTAAGAATTTATAAAATAACACCAAAAAGATAATGCTTTGATCTTTTAACAAGTTCTCTCCACTAACTTTTTAAGGAAATGCATTGAGATCAGACCTGAGAATTTGTATGTGTATATTGGGACTTCAAGGGCTTTAAGTTGCCAGCCTTCCATGGCTGCAACTACGATCTGTACCCGGATGATGTGGCTGTGCGCATGCTTGACATGTGTGTGTTTCCTTCACTTAATTTGGTTCTATAGTTGTAAATTAGTTTGGTTTCCAAAACGAATCTGTGACAGGGTAACGATCGCTAAGCGCTTCTGAAAAATAGACAATCAAACTGTAAGTGGTGCGCGTCTTACATTGTAAGGCGCAAAGAGAATTGTGTAATACAATAAAGAAAAAACCCTTAATTTGACTGTTTATAGCGTTGCAATAGTCGCGAGAGAATTACATAGATGGAGAAAAAAAACGTAACAAAATCGTATAAAAATAACACAAAATCTCAACTCTCCGTAACCGAAATGATTTGGAGAAGTAAATTTCTCTATTCCTTTCTCATAATATCTTCCTTTTGTTGAATGATTTTTTCAAGTTCGTACAAAAAGAAACATATTCAGTCTAGGAAAGCTCAGATATATCTTGCATCTTCTCGTATTTCTGATTATTTTAGGTGAAAATTGTAATGGCTTTTCCGTTTGAATAAAACCTTAAGGAATAAAATGTAAACCCTGTGTACTACTGACCACTTTTTTCAACATACGTTTTCCACTTTCTTACGTTTCTTAAACCAAAGTGAGGTGTTTACAAGACAGAGGCAAAGATGAGCGACTTTAGTTTCCTCTGCAATGGCCAGGCCACGCAATATCAAAACTGGCTTCACATGGCTGATGTCGTTCGTCCAAAAAAGTGGTCCGAAAACGTAGTCAGGAAACTGATTTCTTTAAACGCTTTAATTTTCTTGTTTGTGTTAACTAAC